CAAAACTAACTGAATTGTTTTGCAAAAGAAATAGTCTCTATCATATGAACTATTAGTAATGACCTATGTGTTTTCAGTTACCTTCTTGAGTGATGTATATTGATTTGTGGAAATTTAATAAACACTGTTTTGCTACGTTCGTATTTCATATGAATTTGTACAAAATAAAAGAAAGAAATTTCTACAGAATACAATGAACGGATCCTTATGTCATCACCTATTCTATGAATTGTGTACTAGAGCCAACTGAAAGACTGAATGATCCAGATATACTGAATACACAAAGAGACACACAAAAAAGAATAAGCAAATGTAACAAAACTGGTCAATTGTACTTTGTATGACAAAGATATTCAACTTTACATCTAAAGATAAAAATCCATCCACTGTATACTAAACATTGTTATTATTTTTAATCAACTATGACCTGTTTATAGATTATATATTATATAACGACCTTTTCATGATCAGTTGTTTAAATTTCGATACCAATACATTGACGAACTTCAGCCGCCTATTCCTTACTTGCGAACAGTCATCGATCGGTCATATTGTTATAGTCATAACACTAAACTTATAAATTTTGTTATAATGAGTGGTAATTAGAGATTAAATGAGAGCCCAATCATCAAAACAAAGACTTCTAGGTTATTAGCTAAGCGCACAGCCTACTGGACTTCAAGATCAAGCTGTGACCCACCCAAGTTTTCATTTCAACTTCACTATCACAATACACTACATCAGTATCGATTTACCAATCCAAGGATATCTCAATGAAATTTACCTACGATACGATTTTTGCAATGATGAGTGGGGATTTGAATGATTTCGAAGATTTCGTCACGAACGGAAATAGCTTTGAGAACCGCTGAAAACAGAGGATCACTGAATGATTACTCATAATTGAAATTTTATCATACTACACTGTGAATAACAGGTGTATAGCTAAGTGCTCAGAGAAACTAGAGCAAAATATGCAAACTTCTGATTATCCGTATAATTCATTGCTGTTTGCAGAGTCAGTCCTGATGTCACTACCTTATCTACTAAAACTAACTACATTATTAAAGGATATATTTACTTTTGTGACCTAAATCTTCATATCTTCTTATTGTGTAACATTAAAGTTACGATATTTAACTAGACTGTAACCTTCACTGTGTTCAATGTCAGTGATGACCTCGTATAAAACACTGTGAAATCTGTTTTACAATTAGATGATGAGTATCTTTTAGGAGGATTTCTTTCTGGAGACTCAGTATGCATGTTAGTTTATATCACCTCATTTGACACACTGTCCAATGAAATAAGAAGATTAAGTAATGCTAGACAGGTATTAGAAAAAGTAACATTATTATTTTTATTATATCCTTTAATTCATAGAGGAACATAGGGCTTCAGCTGCGCATCTCCATTGCCTTCGGTTCTCTGCCAACTTTTTCACCCCACTCCAAGTCTGCCCACATGCTTTCATCTCCTCTTCACATGACCTCCTCCAAGTCACCCTTGCACTGACGACCAACTCGCCGCTTCCCTTTCGGCCTCGTTCCACTCGAGCGATGGCTTGTCTAGTGGTGTCACTTGATCGTCTGTTTCCTCAGAGTATGGCCAATCCACCTCCATTTCTTCCTGCATATTTGTTTCACAATCGGTTCCTGGTTGGTTCGCTCATTGCCAGAGATCCCTGTTTCTGATCTTTTCTGGCTGGCCATCTGATCTTGAGTATTGAGCGAAGACAACTGTTAATGAAGGTCTGTAGTTTGTTTGAGATGCTCTTTATGACGCGCTGGCCAAGTCTCTGATCCGTATAGTAGTACTGACTGACTTCACATTGGAGTTGAAAATCCGGATCTTATTTTTGATGGTGAGTGCTATTGACCTCCACACAGACTTGAGAGTAATGAAAGCTTGTCTTGCTTTTCCGACTCTTACTTTGTTATCCTCATCAGTTCCGTCAGCCTGTAGTTGAAACGATGCTTCCCAGGTAGGTAGGTAGGTGAAGGAGGTTGTTTCTTTCAGGTTCCTCCCATTTATGCTGGCTGATTGTTGTCTGTTGCTGTTGTTGCTTGTTGATAATGTTCGCCAGGAATCTTCATCACCTCTGTTTTATCTATGCTAACATTAGTGGGTAAAAACCTGTTTTTAGGAGTGACAATTTTGTTTGAGCAAATTGAAATGTTGATGTTTACTTTAATTATTTCACATATATAAGAATAGAATTTAGGCAGTGAGTAGAAATATAGTTGTATAGTGGAACAGGTTCATTTGATATGATATGCAGTGATATAGTGTTGTTTATTTAATGCCAATGTTTACAGAATAATTTATTGCCAATAGTCATGTTGAGGTAAATAGAAAAAGTGGCTAGACGTCGTCAGTAAAAAAATCTTTTTTTCTTCATGTTCCAGTGGAACATAGGGCTTCATGCTAGTGGCTTGAAGTTTCTGTAGTAGTGTTTATTTTTACGGGATGGGGTTGCTAGCCGCATGCCAAACCTTTCTCTTTAGCAGAATTATTTCTGGCTTAGCGAGGTATAGGAGTGAGTCAGCCGGTGAACGAACCCCGGACCATGTGCTTGTCGGCGAGCAGTAAAATAAACAATACTATATCACTGCATGCAATATGAAGAAGATAATATTATGAATCAAATCATAATAAACTAGATAAGATAACAGTCAACCTATCCTCATTCAGAGAGTTTTATTTACTCTTTAATTGAAATTCCTCTAATCCATTTACATTAGACATTGTTCTACGATAGTTTGCTGTACAAGTAAACTAGATATACAGAAGGTAATGCGCACAGAAACATAAAAAATCCATGCGTATTTACCACTCTAACTGTCCGTGCAGAGCTAGTTACATTGGGCGTACGATCAGACAAGTTAATCGTCGAATTTCTGAATACCTTTCGTCTTGGTTCGGTACAGGTCCGAATAAAGTTATGCGCACTTCAATACCAGCTTATCTCGTCGATACTGGACATCAGGTCGACTCTAACAAAGTTTTTAAAGTTGTTTATCGTATTCCACTCAACCTGTCGCACGGAATTCATCTGAACAAGTCAAATCTATGTGTTCAAAAGAAACTTCTACAGCCCCTTCCTTTGCCATGGCCAAATACATAGTGTTTATTAAATTTTCAAAAACGATTTTCCCCTCCCCTTTGTAATTGCCTTTTGACTTTGTTATTTTTACAATTCAAGCTAATTCTGTAGTGAGAGCTAGCTGCAAGCCAAAAATTGTTGACAGTAATTTACGTCCCAAATCGGGGTCATGAGAAAAAACAATAACAAAGCTCAACCTTGAGGAACTCATCCATCAGTCACAGCAGACTTAACATGTGCAAATACGAATCGCAGATACATGGCCAGACTGTCTAAGAAACGGCCACAAAGAGATGAGAGAATAACCTTTAGCAAAAAAACAACCAATCAGAAGACGTTGCTTCTCTGTTAACAATGACGAAAAATAATGTACATGAAAATCTATAAATATCTGTTGATTTTCTCAATAAACGATCTGATGCCCGGCCTTGTCTTCTGTCGCTACAAGTTCTATTAACCTGTTTGTATTTTATGGAATTCTACTGAGTTATGCATATTTTTCTTAGTCATAATCATTTTACAAATACCTTGACTATGTAATAACTAGTTGCTAACACCGACGAATTAACTGATCTTGAATTCCGTAATTAATTTCTACCCCTTCTTCGGAATTCAGATATCTTGTTGCTGACATCTATCAGTTCATTGTTTTGACGGCTTTTAAACTCTTAATTTCACCACCACGTCCCACCTATACCAGAAACTGGTGGACTAAATAACCACTCGATTGGTAAAATTTTGATGTTAAAACTATATATTAGTGTAGAGCTGATGATGAGGAACTAATTGAAAAAGAATATATATATATTTCTTCGCTCAATTTGTTTTTCCCAAATGCATAAATGGGGATTCGGAAATTACCGAAATCCCACTTCAGATAATTAAAACTGTTACGTCGTTCTCTACTCTATCTACCATGTGAGATAATATGGCACTTATTAATCATAAGATAGTAGAAGCTGATGGTAACTAGGAATATCTGATAATTTCAAGTATAAAACTATGGTGATTATATTCAAATTCTGTTTCATTGATTATCTTGGGCTGCTTAGGTAACCTAGCAACATGTAGGTTACTGTCAGCAGTTAGAAAAATATCTGAAAAGAGAGACTTGCAAGCATACATTGGTCTAATTAAATACACATATTTCCAGGTTATATTTGAAATAGATTTAATGAAATAACAGTTTTAGAGGTAAGCGAAACAGATATCATAGAAAATATTTTCAGACAGTTAATTGTAGCAATCATTACGAGATAATATGTGTAGTAATAGAATCGAAAAGCAGGATTTAATAAATAAATTAAATTACCACAGATCCAATGTTCAAGAAATTCTGATTCCAACCAGATAGTGATAGTTTGATTATTCTTTATTAGCATACATTCATACTATTATTACCTGTTTTTTAGTTATGCACCTAAATTCTCCAACATCTGATTTTTCAAACAGTTGTGTAGTTTTCGACATAGTCTACACTCACATAACCACTGACTTCATGCACCAATAGTACGCTAAAATAAAGCAGAAGTATGTGTTTGAAAATGTGAAGCCTACGTTGTCTTTCTGGGCAACATCCTTAGCGCTAACTGCAATGTGAAGTGAGCTTTTGGAATTCTTCGTGGATAAATTATTCGAATTTCCTCTACTGTGACTGGTTGTCTCCAACTGTCTAACCACCTACTTATGCAGTATACGAGACTAATAATGCAATCCTGGAAATTAGTGTTAAGTGGTTACACCATTTCGTGGCTGATACTTATGAACTCATAAAACTATATACTACTCATTGACTGAGGTGAGTAGTTGAATATCACTCATATCAACCAGCTAGTTCGAGGTGACCTAAACGCCAGACGGCCGTTTCACTCGTATGGCGGCCACGCTTATCAGCAGTGTACCCGGTTCGACTCAGCTCGGAGAGGCGAAGCAGTTCAAACCACACGATTTCTGGCCAGTGACTTGGGTAAACTGGAAGGCTGTAAGTAGGGTTAGTGGTGTGCCTTTGAATCAGCTAACTGGCATTATTGTCAATTCTAGCAAGCATTTGGATAAAGTTATCTTGTGTGGTACTGAACATCCTCTTTATTCTCAAATATCTCGTTTTATCTCTTCGGGTAAAACCAGAAGAAACTTCATGAGAATTTACGCTCGTACAAATCAATATAAAAATTTTATCACACCACCATATTTAGTGCGGGTTTCTAGTGAAGAGTCAGATGTCAGAAAAGAACTTAAACTTTTTAAATGAGTAATCTGAACTGCAAAGTATAAACAAAGCTTACTACTACATGTATGATCTATGATATTCTCTACTTATACTTCATTATTTTTCCACCAACGTTCTGTTTATAGCGGTTTCATTATTAATATCATTATTACTATTTGACATTCAATGTATGTACATATTTATAAAAGAAGCTAAATCGTTGTAATATATACATAAAAACGCTGAAAATTACATACTGTATAATTATTGTTTGGAATACAATGATTATTATTATTATTATGCCGTAAACCAAATTCAACAATCAGCAAGTTATGAATTCGAACTATATAAACTGTTACAACTAGGTAATAGTCACAATTTAATTAGTTCAAGCCTATACATCTCAGAGCTGAACTATTCTATGAGGGCTTTTAAAATTATTAAACGATTCAAAGTCTTATGAAAAATTTTGAATTTGATACAATTGAACAAAGACAAAATCTCATTTGAAAAGGTTTCTTATCTACAAACACTATATATTGTTCATGAGAAAACATAAATACAACAATACCTAGTGTTGAATTAGTTGTGTTCTCTGGTTGATTTAAATTGCGAAGCTTTTGTTGTCCCTCCAGATTATGTACCTAGTATTATTTTAAAAAATGTTCTGATATTCTGTGTCACCCTCTCACTGATTTGTTTAACAAATCTTTTTTCAGTAATATTGTGCCTGCCGTTTGGAAGGACATTAAAGTTGTACCTATACCTAAATTATGTACTAGAGCATGTGTCAAATTTAGAACCATTGCTATTACCTCTCCTTTTTTGAAAACTATGGAGAAATTACTTTTACTTAGTCTTGTACCTTCGCTTAAATCCTTTAATGACCCTAAACAATTTGCCTATAAGCACAGTAGAAGCACTTTAGATGCAGCTGCCGTCTTATATCATAACATTGCTTCCAGTCTAGACAAGGGGGCTAAATTTGTTCGTTATGCCTTCCTAGACTATACATCTGCTTTCGACTCGGTCCCTAGGGACATCTTATTAAATAAACTTGCTGCAAGTCAAACAGAATGTTGGGCTGTTAACTGGTTACATTCCTATTTCTCAGAAAGAAAGCAGTACACCGTGTATAAAGGGAAGTCTTCCACTTCATTGCCTACTGAAGCTGGTGTCCCTCAAGGCGCTGTCCTTTTTCCTTTTCTTTTTTCTTTCTTCTTACATGACTTGCCTCACTCTGATGAAATAAACTTTGTGAAGTACGCTGATGATTTAACAGTTTCAATGGCTGTTAACTCGCAGCTAGATTGTACTAAAATAAATAGCTTTCTGTCAGGAGTCAGTAAATGGTCTGAGTCTAACGGTCTTAAACTGAATCCTTCTAAATGTCAAACTGTTAATTTCAGCTTAAGATGTAAAAGACAGTTAAAAGAAGTCATCGATTCTCATGACAGTTGTAAGATTGACGACAATGATATAGGAATCAAATCAGAAATTAAGTATCTTGGACTTATTCTCTCTTCTGATCTCTCCTGGTCTTCCCATGTCTTAGCGATCTCCAGTAAAATATTCCGCCTGACATTTTACATTAAGAAGTTAAGGCACTCGGGTATAACTCAACCCCTCCTCTTACAGTTCATAAACTCTTGCATCCTACCTATTCTTCTTTATTGTTCACCCTTATTCTTTCCTGGTTTGCTTAAAAAGGACTATGTCACAATTCGTAGAATGCTGATGACTGTCAGTAGGGTGAGTGGTGTCCCAGTGGACCACATAGTTAACATCGTTGTCGATAGGCACTTGACTTCGTGCAATAAATTTGCTAGAGGGATTTTGTCTGACTTGGAGCATCCGCTTTACCCTCAGCTTTCACCTTGCATCTCCTCAGGTAGAACAAGAAGTAACTTCAGAAAACTGTATGCTCGCACGTCTAAGTATAGAAATTCTATGATACCATACTTGTCATGTATTTTATGTGATGAAAATAGTGTCAGGCAAGAATTAACTAACCTTTTTTCATCTAGTAAATAAACAATTTCCTCCATCCATCCTTATATACTTCCAAGTTTTACTTTTATTATTTCTATTATATTTATGGTCCTGTTGCTTCTTTGTTTTACTCTCATAATTGCAAGCACCAACTTATCTCTATGACTGCTGTAATCTTTGTTTTTCCCCTCACCATATCATGTAAAGAGAACATTATATTCAATATTTTTAAACATGCTAGGATTTCTATACCGCATTGACAATACTGTGTGTAACAAGCCCACGGCAATTTTCCACTTGTATTATTATTATTACCTTAGTTGTTATTATTATTATTTCCATTTTATATGCTGCATGTTTCTGACATTACCCCTATTGTAAATGTGGAAAATTTTCTGTGTGATTAATTTTATTTATAATTTGAGGAAATTAGATGCAATATTGTGATTAATGCTGAAAATTGCATTCTGTATCACAAGTACTGTTTTTGGAATAAAGTAAATTATTATTATTATGTTCATTGGAGGATTTAGTATGGAATGAACTCATTTGAATTCACCATCAATGATGATGATGGTGACGAAAGCACCGCAATTAAATTAACCAGCTCAGAGAACGCAACTAATTCATCCACTTGGGCTACAAATCTTTTCCGCTATTTCAATACCTGATTTCAAATATAAGATGTTAGTCAACAGAAAGTGCGTCAAGCAATGTGTGCTTATTAATACTTATCAACAAGAGGCATAACAACCTCGATAAAATTCTCCTCTGAGATATAAATCTACGTTACTTAATAGGAATTCTATACTGTCGCGTAACTTAACGTAGGCAATGATTGTTGGTATGAGCCGTGAAGGTATATGTCTGAATGGGTTGATAAAAATCACTGGTTTAAGATTCATTATCAAACGGTTCATCGTTCAAAATGCAGCAAATTATACTCAGCATTCCTTGTCATTCACAAAATCCAGAAAAGTTTTTTTTTCTTAATCTTCACTTCCGTCTACCACAACTATGTTTCTCCACTACAGTAGCAGCATTAGTACCTTTCTGATGTTTAAAATATCTTGTATGTCCCACTGATGTACTTCCATGCAAACTAATACAGTGATTCATCCGTCAGTATTGCATACTTCAAGGGGGTGGATTTCGTTTAATATTACATCAGTCATGTCGCTTAGGCTTATAGCTATCTTAAGCAATTTGAAATTAATCAATAGAGGATAGAATATCGTTCATTTTAGTTAATAAGTGGAAGTTTTAATTTACTCTTGAATACCACTGCATAATAGTAAAACTAACTCTGAAAAAAAGAGCGACATTGTTTTGTTTATTTATTGGTGAACGTGTGAACAGTTTCTTTCTCTCTCTCTATCTCCCCTTCTCTGTGTGTGTGCAGAAAATACACTAACCTAAATCTATATCGTGCTAATGTTTTTAATAAAACGTATAGGTTATATTATTAATGCATATTAAAATGACAGTTGTTGAAGGCCTATTTTTTACAGAAAGAGGAATAAAACAGTAAAATTGCATACATTATGAATCACATAAATCGCAATACTGAAAAGATATTGCAGAAAGAGATAGGCAAAGGCATAGAGAGAGAGAGAAAATAACAGGAAGAAAAGAGAGATTGGTGATAGTGTCCTCTTCTACACTTCGATACTTATTTGATTGACAGGAATTCTATACAATTGTCTGTCTGCCTATTTTAGACATAGAACATTGAACCAATGTGCGGCAGTTCAAGTCACCACACTCCCTCCTTGTAGCACACAAAGCAAGAGAACAAATGCATAATAGAGACAGTAAACAGAGGTATGAGACAAAGGAATAGTAGTAACGAAGAATAAAACAGTTTCATTGGAAATCACAAGTCACAAGGAGTGGATGCATCTGCACCATCATCGAGAACGATTTTGAGCCATGTCATCAATAGTTTCCAGCCATTGATTTTTACCGTCCCAAGGACCCCAACCAGGAAGTCTACACCTTCCTACGTGGCTTAGACTAATTGTTGTAGATTTCATTGACTGGTGAAGCCATGTTTTGGTTTGACCTCCGCTAGCTCTTTTCCAGCCTGACCCTATATCAGCTAACATTGACCGTCGAGGAAGGAGATGACTAGGCATACGTAACACATGTCCTAACCATCTCAATCGGTGTAACTTTATAACCTCGTCGATTGATTTCCCCTCCTTACCTAGCACTCAACTGACGCCTAACCTCAATATTGCTCACCTTATTATAGCACTTCACACGGGAAAAAGAACGCAGGCACCTATGATCAAAGACATCTAGCCTTTTCATGTCTTCCACTCTCGATGGCCATGTCTCACAGCCATAAAGGAGGACGGAGCAGACTGATGAGCAGTACACCCGTCCTTTGGTCGATAGTCAGCCGGATATCATGTCCACTAAGCCAGAGACGGCGTAAACTGGCATATGCGAAACGAGCCTTCTGTATCCGTGCTGAGATTTCGTCAGAGATCAACCCGTTGGCACTGGCTGATGGTACTTCCCAAGTAAGTGAAGCGGTCAACGTGCTCTACCACTTCACTTCCTATTTCTATACAATTATAGATTATTGGTGTTTCCCACTATTCAGCTACAACTAAATATATCAAACTAACCAGTTAGAATGTGTAGAACGATGCATGGCTACGTCGCGATAGATAAACTGACTGCATTCATAAACTGTTTCATTTCAGTTGAAATTTCAATAAATGATTTCGATAATGAGGTTATGCATTCAAATATATGAAGAAAGAAGTATAACAGATACCAACATTTACGAGTATTATACACTCCTGTGTACTGATATATATACCTTGCTAAATTTCGCATAAATAAAAGTTTGATTAGTTTATTATAAGTAGATGTTGCAATAGAAGCGTTCTACCCTTGTCTATCAATATATTCCATGTGCCTAAAAAAACCCTCTTTTAGCATGAAATATGAAGTTTTCTGGTTGGTATATACATATCGGTGGAGTTAATAATTTCAGGAGGACATGTAAAAAGAGATGTAAAGAAAAGGAATACAGAAAATTTGAACATTTCACTTTAATAATCAACTACTTCTTATATGCCCTACAGTGACTGCAAAGATATTTCATAATATTGATAAATGAAGATACTTCCAAAAGTCTTCTTTTTATTTCTTATTTCACGGTTGCGCTGCCGATAACTGCTACCTTGTCGTGGTGGTCGGGCTTGAATACCGTAATGACCCAACATGCTAAACTGACTGGGACTCTGTCCCTGCAGGTCCTACCATGTCAGGAAGGTTGTTTGGATAGCGGTTAAACTAAAAGCAGTTACCATGGGGTAAATGGGCTCCAGTATCCAATCGGATCAAATGGCGTATGAACCCATATAGGTCACCGGAAACCATGGGAATGCAGCTCTTGACGCTGCTCCGCTGCCTTGCGGATTAGACTCCAAGTCAAAGGCTATGGGCGTAGTCCACTAATAAAACCATCTGCTTCGGTCTGGGCGCCCGGGCAGTATCTCAGCCCTCACACAATGAATTCAATGAAGCAACAAACAATCAATCAAACTTATCGCGTGTTATCACACATGTTGCAATTTCCTTCCTTCTTCCCTTCCCGATGATAGTTAACGAATACTGCTTGAACTTGTTAAGCATGACTGTTTTCCTTCCAGATGAAGTTCTTTATCCGTTCTCTACTTATGTATTTTTTCTCTTCTTTTTTTTCTTTTGGTCTATGTTGTTTTATTATTATTGTGTGGCGCATCCTTCTTGGTGCCATATTGTACCAAGTTTTTATGCATTTAAATAAATAAATAAATAAAATTTCACGGTTGATATCATCAAAATCTGACATCCATTAGAGTCACTGGACAAATATCCTGTCTTAATGATTTATTAGAATAGTGCCTTAACAGCTGAGGATTCAGATTTAGCGAACACCACTTATAGAACTAATAACTTGTAATGTATTACTAACTTAGTAGAAAGGTGTCAAAATATAACACTAGGTCATGGTGCTTAACAGCATACGAAGTACTCATTCTTAATTTCATTTAAACCACACCTTAAAGAATACCATAACAAAACCAAAGTGTCCATACAATGATATTTTTTTCATCCCTTTGACTTTCTAGTGGAACATAGGGCTTCAAACTTTAGGCTTTGAATTTTAGAGTAACATATGTGTTGTTTTAACGGGGTGTGTTTGCTAGCCTGATGCCTAACTTTCCAATCTTTTCCTGGCTTACTACTACTACTACTACTGGCTTGGAGAGGTTTTGCAGTTCAACGCCAGAGAATTAAAGCCGAGCTGCCTACCTGGCGGACACCCTACCTCCAAACCACCGACACACCTGTACAATGGTATTCATATACTAAAAGAGGTTGAACAATAGAAAATTAGACAATCTACTTAGTAAGTAATCATAAATAAGCACTCAGTGAGGAAAGAGAACACTTTCGTTTGTTGCAGCAGTAATTGCGTGAATACTTAATTATAGTTTTTAAATAAGAAAGTTCAGTTTCATTCAATGTATATACACACAATAATGTATGTAATTATAGTCAAGATCATTAAATAATCTCTTTAATGATTACCTAATTATTGATTAGAAAGTACCACACGCAGAGAGAGGGGAGAAAGAAAGGAAGGAAGGGAATCACGCGTCACATGAAACCGAGATACAGTCAAATCGCAATCATACACATATACTATACATATCATAAATCTATTTGAATACAACTCGATACACAAGTGTACTTGTATGCCTACTAACATTTAGCTACACACATATTTACAGGGAAAGCAGTAACAAGAGAAACAAGTGTCCTTTGAAATAAATTAGAAAATCAAATAGCTCACTTGCACATACGCACGAATACACACACAAAATATCGGAGATCTTAGATTCTTTCTATTTGTCGTTGCACAGAATGTCGGATATTCTGCATGATACTTCTAGTGATTACCGAGAAACAATGTTTGTGTAGATTTATGTCTTTGTTAATAAACAAAATGATGCAGTACCTGAAATAGTGACTTTATTCACTAAGTCTAAATAAATCAATGTATCATACTTTCAATTCTTAACCAAGAATGAAAGCTTTATATAAGAGCAGAACTTGTGCATTGTAGTAGAGTATAATTCCATTATGGATAAAATTCATTTGGATAAAGTTACACAGTGTTATACAGTAATAATTACTGTAAATATTACAGTAAATGTCACTGCATAAACACTGTGAGACTTTATCAAAATAAATTTTACCCATAATGGAATGAAAGTTTTACTTTCAATAATATGAAGTTAAATTATAAAAGTGATGTATACTAAGTGTCAGAAGAATTTTTCCACTTAATTTGTCAGTATCCTTTCCTTTATAAGTGTTAAACATCAGTCGAAGCAATAAAAAGAATAAGGTTTCGATAACCTAACCGAAAAGATGTCATAAATCAAATGTTATGTTTTCGCATATAATTAGGAAGGATTAGCAACCAAGATCTCTAGCACGAACCGATAGAGAGCCCACTGCGCGAAAAATATACCGAAAGAAATGGAGATGGATGGGACCCAAATGGGAAATGACGAGTTAGGAGTTGGTCGGAAATCGTATGATGAGATTAGGTCTTATGGGCGATCGTAGAGTAAGCTGAAGGAGAACTAAAGAGAATAAGATGAAAAGGAGATGTCTTTTGTAGCCCTATTTTCCATTCGGAACCTAAAGGTATAATAACAATAATAATTTAATCATACCCCTTAAGCATAACTTTCTCAACGTTTGAGTAATATGAATAACCTCGTCTTGTTTACTAGAGAGTCCTAAACCCGAGAAAAGAGAGAAGAATAGACGCGGGGCTAACGACCCTACCACGGAAAATCAATCTGATCGCTACAGAGAAAAAGTAATACGAACAATATAGTGGAGATATTTTGACACCATTACACGCTACCTGGGTTCAGTAGAGCTTAATACTGATAATGAATTTGGAAAGCTTGAAACTGGAATTTAAAAAATACCTTTCAAAGTTTTTGTTAGCTGTAAACACCAGCATAACCATCTAATATTGAATTCATAATTAGCTAAAAGTCAGTTGTCCGAAACACTTTTTTTCGTGTTCCAGGCTATGAGCAAATATTGTTGCATTAGGGTTGATAATAATACCTAATTCCCTAGACTGAATTAGGTGCATCAGCACAGCACTGGTATTTTTTAGCAAACTTAAAACTTCACCTTTAGTAGCCAGTACATATAACGGTTAAAATCAGCGCAACGTTTAAACTTTCATCTCTCTTATGTGAGGATGCAGTAATCCACTACTACACTTGTAATCAACGTAATCTATCTTATTACCCGACAAGTAAATTCTATCTAGTCTTCTTTGTCTTCTATCTCTTCATTAGTATTATTTTGTATTCCTAATTGTAATATCTTGCATTTTCAACTTTCTTGTTCTCTAATCCCACCCGATTTAATTTCTACACCTCACTACCACTGTTAATGACTTGAACAACACTCAATTTCTAGTCATTCATTTATTTTACGTCATCCAACTTAATTGCTCAATTTCAGTTATAATTTAAATGGCATTATTATCTACCCCACTTCTACTTAGTCTCTACCTGTAATTACCTCTGTTGCTACCCTGAACTAAGTTGAAACATTTTAGTCAATTATATTACGTCATCTAACTTACTAACTCAATCTTACTTTAGTTGCTGTTTGATTAACCTTGTTTCTATATTAGATCATTCTTGTATTCCCTGATCAATTATCTAAACTTGACAAACGTCATGTACTTACTAACAAAAATAATTTGTACACCTATGTGAATGAATTCGCCGAAAAAAAGTCTCTTCGCTGAAGGTCTTCACTTTTTCACTTTTTATTTGGAAGTCAATGATACATTCAAAAATTTATTAGTAATTACAGTTATCAGCTCTGAATATAGTCTCCTATTCTGGTGTGTTTATGTTCGGGTTGACATAAAAAAGTGTAATATTCTGTTACTTTAGGTTTCGTTATACTTCATACGTTTATGATAAATTTATACGATGACTAACTAAAACGAAGAGGACAGTCTCGCTGCAATTTATGTGACAGTATATAGTTGATATGTCAAAATAGCAAGTTAGATTAAATCAAATCCAGCTTGCACTCTCCACTTTCGTTGGGGCAATGCACAAATTTTGTAGAAGAAATGGGAATTTTAGTTGCATTTGTTTGTGTATTTTTGTGTGGTGTAGCAAAATAAAGTTTTCATATCACACTAAAAATTTGTTTCACTTTCCATGTAGACGACTGACATACACATTAATTTATCGATTAGTCCTTTCTGTCAGTCTTCATTCCCTATATATTTGTGCAACAGTGGTGTATATGATATACATTCAGATAGAGATTGATGAAGAGACATATCACACAGATTTGTTTATCACGACAAGATATATTAAGCTTTAACTATTCTAGAATATAGTAGATCTATGGTGTGTTATAAGGAGAATGACAGTGCTGTGTTTAGCCCATACTGAGATTCAACCTTTCTGATGTTCTTTTAGGATTTTGGGAGTTAGAGAAATATTTAAGGCAAACAGCCGTGATACTTTTATAACACACTTATAACTAGTTTAAACTGTTTTGAAGGTAAATCACAATTAAACGAATTTATTCTGAATAAGTCAGCTTTGCAGGATTTCTGAGTTGACAAGTTATCCATACTTTTAACATAAATTACTCAGGAGGTTTATAAGATTTGAACAGTATTTTAATGGCACTACATGCCTGTATAACTGCTGAGTTGTCTAACTTCAAATACTTTCGTGCATTTCAAGGTGAGAATTACCTTCATTAATTATTCACATACATATGGAGGGACAGAGAGACAGAGCGACGGCCAGCAAGAAAATCATATCATCACCAAGTAAACCTCCTCGTTAAGTTTATTGGAAAGTGAATCTGTCATTCTGTGAAATAATGCATTACTTGAGAGAAACTGTGAACATGTGACCAAGCGAACTACTGATGATTAGCGATAGCCCCACTTGCAAATTTCAACATTACTAAAAATTGAATAAGTTAGTGAATACTGAGTGAAATGAGCTAAAAATATAAACTCATTTAACCAACTGTATCCGAAAATGCGTTGAGTCATATTACCCTACCGTATACTACAAAATAATGCAATTGCCGAAATCACTATTCTTCTGGCCATATTTTTAGTTGTTTATCTTAAAAACGTTTATCTATGAATATCTCATAAGTCTATATGACTTAGATTAATCGAACCACCTTTTAGGCACGAACAATACACAGTTACACAGAACAGAATAAATTACTTTTCAGAGAGAACAAAAATCCACCGTATTCACTCTAGTAGCTGCATATTAAAGCTATACGTAGTGAGGTGTATACATCTGGTGTATAAATGAAAGACTGACTGTAAATGAACGTGAACATTGAACGTTGGCCTTGGTCGCCATTGACGTGCAACTCGAAGGTACGAATGATTCAGCCGTGTACAAGTTGGAAGAAGACGAAAGAATACGAATAAAAGTATAATATATTCCTTGTAAAAAATTTGTTTATAGACTTTGTTTCAATTTCGATTTTAATCGCCGAACGATACAAGTTATTGCAAGTACTGGTGTTTTGGAGTTAAAGCCGATAATCGATCATAGTAGTTATCTATTCGGAGCGTCTTCGCAAATAATAGGAACTTAGGGTTAAGTTCCTTGACACCGACTAAGACTGAATTTCAACACAGAACTTTTCAGTTCAAGTTGTCACACTCCATTTAAAACACAAAGGGATAGTAAAACAAAAGATTCCAAAGAACTATAATCAGCAGAAATATAGAAAGAAGAGTAACATTGAAAAACACGAAGACATAGTGGAACTATGAAATTACAAGGAGTGAATGGATCTACACCGATGAGAACGACTTTGAGCCATACCAGTAACAGTTTCTAGCCATTGGTTCTCAGTGTTTCGAGGATCTATATCAAGCGGTCTGCATCTCTACATGTGGCTCAAACCAATCATCAAGGACCTCATGGAATAATGCTAGTTTTTGGTTTGACTAAACCTAATCCTTTCCGAGTCTAATCCCATATCAGTTAACACTGCCTGTCGAGGAAGGCAGTGACACAGTATGCGCAACACATATCCTAGCCACCTCTTAGTCGATGTAGCGTCACAACCTCATCGACTAACTTTCCTTCCTTATCTAACACTGTTAAGAATAGAAAACCGATGAGGCTCGAAGGAATGTCTATTGAGACAAACGCAATGTAGATACATAAATTTGGTATACCTTATCTTTTTTGATAATAGCTTGACTCCACAACTGTTTTTTGGTACAAGTATGGAATTTTCAGCATGTGACATCGTAGCCCAATTTTGCAGGCCGACGATTGATATCAGGTGTGCGTCGGCAGGGGATCGAACCTCGGACCAAGTGCATGGTTGGTGAGAGTCCTAACCGCCGTGCCACCGACGCACATCATTTGCAAATTGCTCGGATATTACCACATTCAATAGCTTGTTGGATTCTGCAGAGTGTTGTAACGTTCTTCTCAAAGTTCCCTTTTTCGAATACTTTTTAAAGGGTCCAAAACATATTGTTTTCTTTTCTGAATTTGTTTACTGGTATACTACCTATATCTGATTATAGGTAGTACTCACCACAATACTCTACCCTTACCTCAATATTAGTCATCATATTACACCATCTAACATGGGAGATAGAAAGTAGACATCCATGATCACAGATAACTAGCCTTTTAATATCTTCCACTTTCAATGGCTACGCCTGGCAGCCAGCCATGCTTCGAAAATAAATTTAAACAATTATGCACAATTCCTCTCTTTTACCGACATACTTCAACTAGTGTTAATATTCTTACGGCACAAGGTTGTTGATATGCAGACTTGTTAAACTTTAATTCTCATCGACTACTTCAATTTTCATGATAGTGTAACTTCCTTCGTAAAGAAAATCATGCATGCTATTCATATCTTGAGATGAAAATGACAAGTATTTTGTATTCTCTGAGCTACTGGTATTTGACTGCGAACATTTTGTTACCACGCCAGGCGATTTTATCAACTGTCGCTACATAAAGTACAGAGGTGAAGTCATGATAGTGTCATCTAACCTCCTGGTAAAAGGTCCTAATTAAGCATCCGAACATGATAGAAAACATGTTAAAATTATACTTTTATGCTGTTTTATTCATATAAGCAATCATATAGTAATAGATGCAATGTGCCACAGAAATCAAATTACTTTACTTAACTGTAAATGTACAATAATCTTTGTATGTTTCCCTCACCCCCTCCCACAAAAGAAAAAAACATTAAGAAGTGTATGAATTGGAATATAACAACAGAGAAGGAAAATAATTATGAAACTTACTTCAGTAACATATCACATTTTGAACAGCAAAAACAACGTTTATGCCAAATATTACCACCAGCTTCCATTCGTTCAGCGGCGTAAACAGATTTATCACAGCGTACACATTTCTCTACTTTAGCCTGAAATAAAGAAAAATAATAGAAAATGTTGAAATGTATTTAATTTAAACTATGTGAATTGTTTAAAGAAAAAAAGATTATGAGTGTCATCAATATCCTTCTATGCACTGATCACTGCTAAAATTACAGAAGATGAATTGTATTCACAATTATAGTGATTAATGGGAAATATTTTCTGTAGAATATTTATGTAAAGAATCTTTAAAATAAAGCAGTGAGATGCTCACTAGCAACTTGCCCTATCCAGGTAGGTAGTTACCTGGGGTTCTAGTGAGAAGTCGTGACCAGTAGGGTGCAGCAAGTCGGGTGTGAGGAAAAATACTCACCGAAGACATTGACTAGAGGTCACACTATGTCGTGAATTGGCAAAAGTTAGAATTCATGGGCCACTGGATTGGGTCCCAGTGGCTTAATGATCTACGAGCTCGCTTTGTAACCAGAAGGTCCTGGGCTCGAACTCTGTCTATGGATGCGTACTGATGAAGAGTCCCAAACTAGGACTAAACGGCTGTCGAGTACTCCCAAGTTTTCCAATGGTTCTCTAACCAATGTCAGCTTGTGATGAAATCATGTAACCACTCAAATCCGTACAAACCGATACGTGAATATTAAATCAATATTCTTTTAAAATTAAAATAATGCATAGCATATTGCTGATAGAAAAAACCACATTTGGATCAATCACGTCAATTAGCAGTATTCATTAGTCAAACTAAAGACTTTTCAAACAGTGGGATACTGTTTCTTTTGTTTAATCCTATTTAATTGGATTTATTTACCACAAACAGTTCAGTTTTATCACTTATCTGTATTTGAACCATGTGATAAGTAAAACTGATTCAAATGTTATTTTTCAAAACATTTTTTAAACGCTCAAAATAGTTATATGACAGATATTGAATCAACTGTTTAATTAAAAGGTGAATCAAAACGATGGTTGTAATGATGAAATTCCACAAGAAGCTTCTAGCCAATACGTCCAAGTTTATTGATTGGAATTCATTAACTGGAAGCACAGTGTGATCCCTAAGCTACTTAACAAGGTACTGCCAAGTATTATACTTTGGTGTCTGTATGAATTCTTAGGGTAAACTCCAGCTGAAGATGAGGCAGTAACTCATCGAAGAAGATATTTTCAAGTATTGGTTCTCTAACTGATGTCAGCTCATGATTAAATCCTGCATAAGAAGATATTGCCAAATGGTCGCGCTATTTCGTGAATTGGCAGAAGTTAGAATTCAAGGACCATTGGATCGGATCCAGTGGCTCAATGGTCTACGAGCTCGCTGGCCTTGTAACCAGAAGATCCTGGGTTCGAACCCCGGTGAGTGCGTACTGATGAAGAGTCCCAAACTAGGACGAAACAGCTGTCCAATACTCACAGGTTTTCCAATGGTTCTCTAACTGATGTCAGCTCATGATGAAATTCTTCATGCAAAATAATTTTCACCCTGATTATTCGACAAGGTATCCGCCACCTATTCATTTACTCTCATCTGATTGGAAATCTTGTCTCTTTCGCAGTAATAACACTTTAATCCTTTTTTCATCTTTCATTTACAGTCCATTCAGTGATAAACCATTCCTGACCTCCTATGAGATTTGACTTATTCGTTTGAGCATTTGTTTTCCATCTACAGGATCCCAAGTTCTAATCTAGCCTTGTTTACTTAAGCCTAGGAGATTTGAGTACAATTAACATTCTTCGAACAACAATAATTCTGATTCATAGACTGGTACATGAAAAGCATGGTTTAAATAGGTAACTAAAACTGCAATTTGGACAGTAATTACAGTCGGTTCATTTTAATAATGCACACAGATGCTGAATATGTTCGTTGTTACAAGCTAGTCATATTAATTGTGAAGTTAAACTTTGTTAACGAGTTGCATCACTTTCTTATTGATACGAATATAGTTTCAGCTAACAAAATAGTTAAATCGAAATCAGCCGGAGAATTCACTTTAATTTTTAATGGATGTTAAAGTTGAAATTTGTCTGGTTGTCAAGAAAACCATCTTCTAGTCCCCCTTGGTATTGTTAAAATTAGTTTCCTTATCAGCCTTAAGGTTGTTTTCATCGAACATGTAATTAACAAGACAAATCACTGTCCAATTTTACGTGTGAATACATTTTAATGCATTGTGATTCAATTTTGATTGAGAAGTTACTATTATTATTATTCCCTTGGGCTCCACAAGAAACATAGGGCTTCAACAACACATCACCACTTTGTTCTATTTTCTGCTGTCTTCTTTAGCTGGGCCTACGATTGCCCATAATCTCTCATCTCCTCCATGTTACCCTCGCACCGAAGACCCAATCGTCTTTTCTCATTCGGGTTCCATTCGAGATCTGGTCTGGTGCACGATGTCATTTGACGGTCTCCTCAGAGAATGCCTAGTCCATCTTCAGAGAAGATAAGTTAAATGTATTTAATTGATTTAATTCATATATATATATATATATATATATATATATATATATATATATATATATATATATATATATGCAAATTCACTTTTACAGGTGAACGACTAAGCTTCGTCAGTGAATTCAATACCTGATGAGGAAACATCCAACAGATACCTCAGTGATTTCATTCCTCCAATGTAATCATGATTTTTTTTAATCATTTTCATCACAACACTACTTAATGGTGTGAATATATAAACTACACATCTGAGATAATACAGTAATTTACTAATTCTTAACATTTTGTTTCCCTTTACATCTATTTTCCTTATGGGAATGAATGTACCGAATATTGCTCTTTTTGCCCCAGAATGTTCTAATTATTTTTCAACCTTGACACATTTTGTAAGACGATAGTAAATTTGCCAACTTGATTTAAGGATTTAAGCAACTACCAAAAAAATAAAATAAAAATAGTGCCAAGGTCGTTCATAAATCTGTAAAATACAGAATCTTGGCTTAATTTGACTATGCAATCAATTTCTTATATTTGTATAGCTTCTTTGCAATAATTTAAGTGAAAAAACGACTTCATTTTTATTTGTGCATAAATATACATAATTTCGAAAAGTCATAAGGGGGGAATATTTTCGTGTACATGGCACCAAAAAGTGAAAAGAAGGTAACATGTGATAGATGACACTAAAGTACATTAAGTAAGAATCATTTTTATGATTTAAATTTCATCCCATCCATCAGTCAAATAGCTTAAGATACGATTGTTGTTGCTTTTCCCCTCAACTGAATACATATGTCAAACGATAAAAATGATGAACATTTGTTGTATTTGTCGAAAATAAGTAGCAGACCCCCGATTTGGGATTGATTAACACTTTATACGCATAGATACACACAAACAAACAAACCAAACTAGTCAAATAACTTCTTGACTAAGGAAACCTATACAATACGAAAATGATAAAATGAAGCATTCCTGGACTGATTTTACACTAACAGACAGCATTTCATTATCGATCAATGTCATCTGAAATAAAACACACACACACACGGGAAATCAAAGTGTGTATATCAGCTGATTCTAACCTATTTGGAGGATTTCTAATGAACTGAAAACAACGATCTTTGCTTTTTACCCTCATCTTTTAGTCAACTCGTTATCTTACATTAAACCAGTTGGTCCACTAACTCAGTGGAATTAGCCTCATCGGTTTAAAAAGTTAAGGGCTATATATAAATGTTTATCAATTTTAACACCTATTTTAAAAGTATTCGACATTTTTTTAGTAACTGTTCTGCTTCAAAATCCATTGATTTCATAAAATTATCTAAATAACAAAAGTCTTGCACCAGTGCAAAATACAACTAATAATTCAATGGCTACGTATAAATTTATATAAACATCTATATTAGTTCTGTTTAGGTATGAATTTCAAATCAGATGTTATATTTAACACGTCGCGAGGTAAATAGGAACTGAGTGAAGGAAAATAATCCTTAAAATCAGGTAGCCACTTGGTTATACAAAAGGAGAGAGAGAAATTCAAATACTGAACTATCAATTTTCATCTACACATATTTATTCTGTTCAGTTTGAATGTTTACTGTCTTATATTTAAAAGGTATTAAATGTCAAGCTGATGGATTGCAACTTAAAGATTGGTAACTTCAATCAATTTGCAATGTAATCACCAACCTAAAAGACTTACGGTCACACTACACTTTCTGATTGAATGTTAGATAGTTGGAGGCAATCGTTAGTAAGCCTTGGACCTAGGCATTGTGTTTATTAACACGCTTTCAGCAATGGAATCGAAAGGGTCAGTGATAACGACTGTGACTACAACACCGGGTAATGAGAATGCGAATATCACAGAGGACATCGGTTTCCTTTAAGGTTGCAAACAGATCTTGTTGAAAAATGTCAGTCAATAAGCACTAAACCAAGATTCAGGGTTTTTCATCGACTACTTCCAAACCTCTGTCTTTAGAGTTTCTGATTTACTTAGCAAAAATCTTGTTTTAATTCATTATTTAAAGGCGATCTCATGGTTACTGAAGAATTACTTTTAATTGTTATCTATGCTTTTAATTGAGAATCCATTAGTTTTTGTTCTTATTTTTCTATAGTGAAAATGGATTCATAAGGTGTATTGAATGACTCATATGTAGTTGGCTAGTTAGTGAACAATTAACCATCCATAAACCTATTCAACCAATTTCTTTATACTTATATTATTATAAATATACAGTATAAATGGGTCTGTGATAAATGTTTACATAAAGCAATAAGCCTTAATTCTGGTAATGTTTCGAAGAAAATTGTTTGTGACATAGCAAATATATATATATATATATATACATTTACTATTGTCTTGAAAAGTGAACTGAGTCACCTCTGTCGCGTATCACTGTGACATTTAAAAATACAGATTTTATCGTGTACTTTTACTTTCCATCTATCCAACTTTAATACAGTAAAACTGCTATAATCGATAGAACGCTTCCTTTTTTCTCTGTTTGGGAAACTAAGGTAGGACAATACATACCTGTAACTCTCCCAACAAGTTAATACTTAACTAATTCTGAGATTTCAGATTTTATTTTGAATAAAGTAATTAAATAAAATGAAGGTTTTTAATATAAGAGTTAATCTGTTTCGTTCTTCATTCCCTGCGTTCCGAATGGAACATAGGGCTAGGTGGTTTAAAGTTTTAGTAGCGGTGGCCCTGGTTTTAAGTGGGGTGGAGTTGCTAGCCTCATGTTCAATCTTCCCTCTTTTTCCGGGCTTATTATAGGCTAGCAAAACTAGGTGAGGTTTAGGAATACGTCAGTCGGGAATCAAGCAGAACTGTTTTTTTCCTTTACATTCCCCAGTGGAACACAGGGTTTCAAGCTAGTGGCTTGAAGTTTCTGAAGCAGTGTTTTTTAATTTTACAGGATGGGTTGCTAGCCTCATGCCCAACCTTTCCTCTTTACCAGTATTATTTCTGGCTTATCGAGGTAAAGGAGTGTGTCTGTGGCCGGGGATCGAACCCCGGACCATGTGCATAGTCAACGAGCGTCCTAACCGCTATGCCACCGACGCACTAAGTAGAACCGTGGTTAGATATAATTCGATGTTTATTTGTTTGTTTGATTAAAGCACACAGTAAAACTCTATTACCTAGTGGATGATATGCCAAGCAGAAATTACTGCCCATAATCATTTGAAAGCAGTAAAATGACTTGCTAATTGAATTTACGTGTCATATCTCTCCGTTTTTTAATGTTATATAAATACTTTGATATGATTATAAGCAAGATATTCTGCTCGAAATACTGTCCATTAAAAAAAATACTGTATTTAGATATTATAGAGAAGATTTGTAGCTCAGGTGGATGATTTTGATGTGGTTTTGTTCTCTGAGCTGGATGGTTAGTTTAACCATCCAGCTCAGAGAACAAAACCACATCAAAATACTGTATTACTGTGTAGGTTACTAGGTAAACAAACCAATGTAAACATAAATGTATACAGAGCGTTTTTCCTGTCTACAGTACATAAAAATGCCTATTGGTATCCTCTGATATTCTGCTTAATACGTTTTCACCTTAAATTGCCTTCAGTTCTTCTATACGGATCAGAAACTTGGCGGGCGGGTCACAAAGAATATTTCCAACAGCCTGTTGCAGACGTTACCTTTACCAACAACTGTCTTCGCTGGATCTATACTGAAGACCAGATGGCAGAGCCGGAAAGAATCACCAACAAGAAACTATGGGAACAAACAAACAAAGAACCAATAGCCCAAAAATGTGCAGAAAGTGGAGATGGATTGGACACTCGCTGAGGAGACCGCTGGGTTACATCGCGCGCGCGTCAGGCCATTGCTTGAGTGGAACCCGAAAGGGAAGTGGCGAGTGGGACGGCAGTGCAAGGGTGACATGGAGGAGATCGTGTGAAGAGGAGTTGTAACAGTATGGACTAACATGGATGCAGGTGAAAAGTACGGCAGAAGGAAGACAGAAGCAAGTGTAGACGTGCAGTTGAAGCCTTATGTTCCACTAGGAACCCAAGGGAACAATAATAATAATTAAATTGCCTTACTTCAGTAACAAAATATTACGGATGTTAAACTTTATCAGAAATCAAGGTGCAAAAAGCTAATCTATATGCAATTTAGTGATCAACATATTTTTAGTCATGAGTGTTTGTTAATAAGCCTAATGATAGGCGAATACTGTGAACTACAGTGGACATTTTTTTAGCGCTATGAGTTATTCAGTAGGTAACTACTCTTCTTGATCAGACTTTCATTCTGATAGACGCTTATCAACAAGGAGGATTCACAAACTCTCTAAGATTCAAACCTACATTATTGGATGTTGAAATCGCAAAATTTGCCACCAAATTAATTGCATTAGAGAAATTCATCCATGCAATCAAATGTGTTACAGGTTCCGATACACTCCATTTAAAACACTTCCATATAAATTTAAGTTACTTTTACTTTACGTATACCAGCATGAATATATATTGAACTTTTCAGTCACCTGGGCGTGAAATTATATTGGTAACATGAACCGTCAAACTGTTCTTTTCATATCAAAGTATGTAATTAGAAACACACGAGTCAGAAAAGAGATCTCTTTCATAATTCCACTTCAAAGCTCTACAGGAGACTTATATATATGCAATGCAGATTAAAAACAGAGGTCAAAGGTTATCGGAGTTAGTAACAAAGTAAATCAAAATGCATGAGTAAAAATTATGTTTGAAAAATTGAGAATATTCTTACATAATCAAGAAGACTGACAACTAATTAGTTGATTGGTAAATAGTCGTTTGGATTTAGTTGATAAGAAATACGAGAATAAAGGAGTGAAAATGAATCGCAAGAATATAAAATGGACCACATAGCGCTTGTACAGATATTCAAGTAAACAAAGAAGGGAGAAAAAAGTGCTACAAGGAAATGGTAAAAGAGGCTGGATAAAATGTCTCTGAACACAAAGTTTAGGTTCCTCCTTAGGGGTTACTAAAGCTTTGGCTGCATGAAGAAAACGTAAGCGAAAGCCTTTAGAACGACTTGGTCGTACTTTATATATATATATATATATATATGACTGAATGAAGTTTCTGCTGATGCATGCCTTTATCAATTCACCTGCTGCTGTGGCACTAAGTACATAAGCCGTACCAGCAGGACGTTCCCTTGACGTGCCAGTGAACACCAACCAGCCCAGTTTTCAATATGAGAATGTAGAACAGCCAACAGCTCAATTCTGGAGATGAATTATTACTTCTGGTCATGCCGCACCAGCAGAAACTTCATTCAGAGTCATTTATATATATATAAAGTACGACGAAGTCGTTCTAAAGACCTTCGCCTACGTTTTCTTCGTGCTGCCAAAGCCTTAGTAATCCTTAAGGAGAAAGCTAAACTTTGTGTTCGGAGACATTTTATCCAGCCTCTTTTACCACCATATCCTTAAAGCAATTTTTCTCCCTTCTTTGTTTACTTGAATATCTTTGCAAACACTATGTAGTCCATTTTATATTCTTGCGGTTCATTTTCACTCCTTTGTTCTCTTATTTCTCATCAACTAATTCCAAACAACTTTTCAAAAACTTCATACGATGATTCCCTTTTATAAATTTGAACGAAGAAAGAAGAAACATTGGCGCAGAATAATCTGGATCCATTTTATTTCGTTGGTTCTCATCAGCTGCGGTTAAATGGACCGAACTGTTTAAGCTCTTCAATTACCAAACACCTGATTGACACAGGACACCGAATAGATTTGCTGGAATCATTCAAAATAATCAACAGACAAAGTACCTCAAGTCTTCTGAGGTTTGCTGAAACTATAGCAATAAAACGATTGAAGCCTGACCTGTATGTCCAAAAAGAATCCGTTGTTTGACTTCAGTTACCTTGGTGACTCACATCTTAGTAACTCTTTGTTTTCTAATTTTGTTAGCTTATCTTTTCATTCCACCCCCTCCCTTTATTTTTCGCTCGACTCTCTTAAGAGATAATTTTTTCTTGATCTTCTGAGTTCTGCTCACTGTATTACATCATAAACTTCTCATCTGACCTCATGTGCACCGAAATTTTAAAATTTTGATCTTCTCTTATTTAATTAGGTAACCATTACTAATTTTCTTTTGTTACCACCCCAACAACACAACTGTTAATTATTTTTTTTCAAGAAACTTCCCTCTATTAAGATATATATATATATATATATATATATCATAACACTTTAGACACCCTGTAAATCGCAACGCCTTATTTTACTATGACGCTCTGACAATATGCTTACTAATAGACAAAAGTTTGTTAAAATTGAACATTTTTATTTTATTACAGAATTCAGGTTGTATGTAGCTGATAAGTACCAAGGAAATAAAATGGATTCAGATTATTCGGCGCCAATGTTTCTTCTTTCTTTGTTCTAATTCCAAACGATTATTTACCACTCAACTAACTAGTTGTCAGTCCTCTTGATTATGTAAGAATATTGTCAATTTTTCAAACATATTTATTTCTTAAGCATTTTGACTTATTTTGTTACTAACTACGATAACCTTTGACCTCTGTTTTAAATCTGCATTGCATTTAGTAAGAGGCATTTTTAGTAAATTTGGTGAGCAAAGGTGTATGATAAGGCAGAGAACTTCACAGTTGAGGCGTATTCCTCAGTAAGTAGATGAAAAAGGACTAAAATAAAGCAAGACTAACTATTTTTTAGAATTTTGATTACAGCTTAATGCCACAACTTATTTTCAGTACAAGTATGGAATTTTCAGCATGTGATATCGGTAACCCAAATTTTGCAGGCCGACCATAGATATCAGGTGTGCATCGGCAGGGGATCGAACCTCGGACAATGTACATGGTCGGCGAGAGTCCTAACCACTGTGCCACCGACGCTGGTGGACAGAAACTGTTTTCACAATGATCAAATGTCAAGTGAACCTCTTAGGGCTCATTTGAAGATTGAAGTTTCAATCTTGCTTGTACAGTATGATAGAGAATAATCGGTATTTTTAAAGAATAAACGTGCGAATTTAGAGAAACTAAAGTTTAGTAACAATTATCCATTTCCGATGTACTTAGTGTATAATGAATGACTGAGTGAATAAATATCTAGGTATTACGCTGAATGTCAACGTATGAAAAGAAACTTTACGGAAGCACCTTCTGTTATCAAATTTATACATCGTAAAGTGAATAATGTTTTGCAAAAGTAATTATAAGAAAAAGAATTTCTTATATAAAATAGCAAATTTATTGGAATGAAATATACAGATACTACTTAAGAACTTACCGGTGTGAAAGGCATCTTATTGTCTTGATTAGAATGAAATTTAATGTCCAAGTGTTTTACACTTCAAACCATATAATACTATCATTACTTCCCTATAAAATTACGGAGGTGGACAAACAGTGATCTAATTGGTCAGCCAGTCAAGGTTATTTAAATTTGTTTGGTGGATAGCTAAAATGTGCTAAATACACAGGACAAAATACTTTGGGCTGCCAATACTTATTCTTTTCACATTAATGATGTTGTCTTTTAAACTTTCTAAGAATATTTTGACATCACATTACGATGTATTAACATTTACAAAATGCTTCACTAGTATCTGTATAAAAACTGAATTATAACGAGAGAAAAAAAGATACAATAACAAAATTTTCTTAGTTATGGCTGTTTTATACACTACAGCTATCTATATCTGTAAACCAGTGAAGCAATTCGCATTGCCATGACTGTGTAAGTTGAGATGAAATATTTAGCTGTATTATCTTAGCTTTACTTTTTTGTACTTTTAAACTTCGTAAGGTTCGGTAGTAAATACTAAGTGCAAAACGTTCGACTGGATTATTTTACGAACACCGATAATCTATAATTCAATTAATTATCGATATTTATCAACATCAGTTGATCGGCGTTCGAAATATGATGTATTTAGAGCATATTTCGTACTCCTAACACTTAATACATAACATAGTTATTGATTCAGTTGGTTTAGGTGCAATTAATAAATGTGAACACCGCTTCACAATACGTCAACCAATGAAAACTATTGAATGCAAAACTGGTTTTTTATTGACATAATATTGAAAGGCTGATTCAATCATTTATTTGAATCACATGAAGTAGTTAAATCTTGAGTGAAAAAAACGTCTTGCATCAATCAATTCACTTTAATTAAAAAAACATGTGAAACATTCCAGAAATCACTAAAGTAAGTGAATTTAAATAAGGTATTAATTAATATAATACCAACATTTTGTTGTAGCTAAAATTTCTATTAATCACACATCATTTTAAATAGTAAGGCTTCGCTTAATACCTTACAGTATTCTTCTGTGCCTTTATTTCTTGAATAGTCTATTCAAAGTTCAAATTTAAGAGAGAAAACAAAGACTGAAAATCCAAGAGTATTAGAATAAGCTTGATGAATACTTCGAATTTTGACTTCATGGATAATTTGTCTATCGCACAAACTCGAGGATATGCAGGTGAGAACAAAAAGTTTGGCAGAAGAAGTAGCGAAGACAGGAATTCAAGTGAATGTATAGAAGACAAAGGTGATGAAGATACCCAACCATCGACAACAAGCACCAATCACCATCGACGGGAATCATCTAGAGGAAGTCAACCTTTTCACTTATCTAAGCAAAATCATTTAAACTACAGGCACGGACGGATGACGAAGTCATAGGCAAGAGAGTTTCGTTATTTTGAAATCAGTGTAGAGATGTACCGCAGTCATCAGAAGGAACAAGATCCGCATCTTTAACAGTAATGTCAAATAAGTGCTTCTGTATGGCTTGGAGACCTGGAGCACTACGAAAAGCATTTCCAACAGACTTCAGACTTTCATCAACAGCTACCTTCACTCCATACTGACGATTAGATGTTCAGATAGGATAAGCAACAAAGAACTATAACACGAAAAGAAACAACCTAGAACATATTGTCCAACACATATGCACAAGGAGATTGGGGATGGATTTCTTCCAAATCATCCTTCGTTTTTTGTGAAGTTTCCTCGAAACGGGTGAAAAATATGGGGATTTATAAGCAGGTTACAAGTTTCCAGACCGTAGGTGTTACGAACTTCCTGGAATAATTTGAGCGTGGAGTCAGACTGATTCACTATAAATTATTTAAATTAATCCCAGTGTGTTAAGAAAATAAAAACAAGATTTTTCTGAACGTTTCGCTGTGTAAGCCACAGCTTCTTCAGAAGATTTATTCGGATTTTTATTAATCATCAAAATATATAGTCAAAATTTTTTACATAAATCGAAGTCAGTTAATTTGAAGGTCATTTGTGCATCCGAATAAATCTGCTGAAGAAGCTGTGGCTTACACAGAGAAACGTTCAGAAAATCTTGTTTTTATTTTCTTAACACACTGGGATTATTTTAAATAATTTATAAGTAGGTTTTAAAAATGTTTACGATTGACTGCTAAATATGTAGTGTGACGAGGATAATGTGATATGCTGGTATAATAACAATTCATGAAAATCAATTTTCTATGTTCTGCTCATCACTCATTTTATTAGGGTAACGTCAATAATACTTTTAAAATATGTTGCTGGGTACTTTATAGATTGAATGATGTCTTACTAATTATTGTATCTTCTCAGGTATATCATATTAGTGCTACTATTATCTCTTTCTTATATAGATAGACCAACTGAAAATCAAACCTTTCAATACAGAGTTAGAGAGAACAGACGAACGTGTCATATATAGCCCCCCTCAGGTTTACTCGTGAAATCACAGATAAACGATAACAAGTGAACACTAAGTCGTCAGTTGGGTTATTATCTATATACACAATAAATACGGTTACAACAGGTCACATGTGTTGAATAATACTAGAATAGTTAGTCAACCACATGAATATTATTTTAAAGGTCGCATAGACAAATTTAAAAGGAAAATTTCAAGTCATCTAATAAAAATCTCAGTGAGGTCGTTTATTTCCTCTATTCAATAATAAAATCTTATCAAATAATATTATTACTTGTGTATACCATATCCCTTATTTTACTGTTTACCATACATTTAATATGCGATGGCTTTGTTCTACAACAGTTAATACTTCCATTACATGTATAATAAATGGTTGTCTGAAATGCATTCATAAAAAAACAAAGCAAAATAATGAAAAATAGCTCGTTAGCTTAGATTATCAAAATTTAATAAATTAAAATACGAATATTTTAATTATCAGATTGAAATTTTAGCCAGCAATATAAATTAAAGACATCAACTTATTGTTAGTATTAAAATGCATGAGACTATGTATTCCTTGCATTCTGAGTGGAGCACACGTCTTCGAGCTTAGAAGTCTAAGTATTGATGGTGCTTTTTTATGAGGTTGCGGGGTGAACTCACGCCCTACCCTCCCTCCACCTTTTCTGAACAGCTTACTATCAACTAGCGAACTAGGCGAGGTTCAGGAGTGGGTTGAATGAGAATCGGATTCGGACTACATGCGTGGTTAGTAAGCATTATAGTAGTGAATCACAGATATATCTATCACTACATGATAATGTATTAATAATGCTTCAAATGAACTGTTGTCAAGATATGACAGAATAGTTCTAAAATATTTGGCAAATATTCGGCAATCTGGTCCGAACTTCTACTGGGAAATTAATATAACAGAGGTTTATAAATAAAAGGAACATCTCTTGTTTTTAAAAACTTTCTCCAATTATGAGTCATAAAACAAGTATCAACAAATATAATAAACAAAATTGTATGAGCTCTGATCAAAATTTGACCTCGGACTTACAAATATTGGTCTACCTTTGTTAAACACTTTAAACAGAGTGTATGTGTGTGCGGGTAATTAATTTTTCCTTCACGCTCCCCAGTGGAACATAGGGAGGCTTCAAGCTAGTGGCTTGAAGTTTCTGTATCGGTGTTTATTTTACAGGATGGGGTTGATGGCCTCATGCCCAACCTTTCCTCTTTACCAGCATTATTTCTGGCTTAGCGAGGTAAAGGAGTGCGTCGGCTGGGGATCGAACCGCGGACCATGTGCGTGGTCGGCGAGCGTCCTAACCGCTATGCCACCGACGCGGGTAAATAGTTGTAAAACATTTCTTAACGTATCCATAAGAAGATATGGACAGTCAAGAATTTTGACCAAGTATTATTAATTAGTGATACATATTCATTCTTATTTATTAATCAGGATTTCCAATGCATCAGCTAACATCACACCTTCATATCTGTTCAAACTGTTAGTATCTAGAATTTTATGATTAGACGAATTTTCAAAATTATGGTGTTTAGGATTACAGTTTAGTTGAAGTACCCTGTCGAATTTATTGCCTTGTCTTCTTTCTGAAGATTGAGCTGCTTTATTCGACCTGCTGAAGTTGTCAGGTGACTCGACAGCTACGGATTTAGGATATGGATTTTGTTGCAGACAACGGAGAGTGAAAACACGATGATTGTACCAATATTACATAGTTTCTTTGTCAATTTAATTCGATTGCAAATTTACTCAACTGAACTGTCATCAAGATTTGACAAAATAGTTCTATAATATTTGGGCACTGAGTGAGAAGTAGACATTTGCAAAAAAAAACGTTGGAACTACTCATTTCAATCTCGCTTAGATTTTACAAATATAATTTTTTGCAAATATTAATAATGCTGTTAAGATGATTAATTAAATATAAGTAGTAAAAATATTCACACACGTTAGTATCCAACCATTGAGGTAAAAAAAAATTTTTATCTTATTGATGGCCAATTTATCCTTTATTTTAAAATTCACAATAAACCATAAAATTTTTTAATGAATATGTAAAAAATATGTACCGCTATCTAGCATCCAATATGAAATAAAGAAATAATAAACATACAAAAGGATAAATTCCTACTGTCCATCATAAGCAAAATAGTTTAACTAGATATCCAACAGGTTTTAAGGACACATCAGTGTCACGTTCCCTGAATCCTACTTCACGTATGATCTGATCCTATGTACTCTAACAGCAAAGAAATATCACATGAAGATTTTTACTGTCACAAATATTATCTCATGTGATACATGTTTAGTCTCGAGTGAGTGACTGGATTCAAGACAGAACTTTCCACAAATGTGCAGCAATTCAAGTCCCCACACTTCACTCATCACACTACACCAGAGAAGAAAGTAAAAAGAAGTACAAAACAGAGATATGAGGCAAATACAATTGTAATATCGAAGAACAATATACTTCTATTGGAAGTCACAAGGAGTGGATGCATCTACGCCAGCCGTTGACAACGATGTTGAGCCATAACACCAAT